GACAGCACCATCATATTGGTGGGAAGTTATGAGACAGGTGGCACAGTACTCCCTGGAAGCGGCCGCCCTTTGCTTTAATAGAAGACGAAGACTTTCCTTGAAAGTCATCAACCCTTTTGGTTAGGCAAGTGGGGTCGATAGGTCCAAGGCTTTCTAGAGCAAATACTCAACTAGTTGATGTTTCTATTATGCTTGTAGCAACGCTTTGCAATTGGCACGCTCAACCCGAAGCAGTTCCTAGGACTTATGTTGAGAGAGCAATGTCGGCATTTTTCCAATATGATAAATTCCGCGATATTCAGATGGCATCAGTTTTTAGACGACTTGAGCATAATGTGTCGAAACCCAACGCTATGATGCCCTGGGCCTCCTATCAATGTCCTTTCGGTCTGAAGTATCAACCCAGACAGAATAAGTTGGATGGGATCCTTTTATATCTTAGACAGCATACGTCGGAGATGCTTCGGAAATGATTCCTGCTCTTATGACTTCGGCAAAAGCCGTTAATAAATAGTTGGATAGCTGTACACTAGCATTGGTCCGGTTGCGCTTCGAGGGCATTCTCGACAGCAGAATATCTTCTTATGAGAGGAGACGATCGTTAAATGATGCTCATCTCTCAGCTCAATCGAGATTTTGCCTTTTAGCGCATTTGCTTCCTATTACATATCTTTGCATCGGTTAGAAGTTAGACATTTCCATGCTCGTGAACCTTTTCCTTAAAACATGTGCAAAAAAGAAGTAGCGAAGGAACGATTATAATCACATTTGGGATAACAGTCTCGTTTTGTATACGAATGTCGACTCACAAAGAGGTGTTAAGGCTTGCAATAAACTTTCACTCTCCATGATCTTCCAGCTTTGGCTGCAGTGTCGATGAAATTTAAGAGCTGCTACAAAACGTGGCGAACGTGAACATATTTTGATTTAGAAAAATTTTTGCTACAAGCAGAGACGTGGGCCGGCTATATCGCATATGCTGACCGTTGCGAATATCGAAGACATACAGGAGAGGGTTATTCTGCGGCCATACGGAAATAAGCGACGACACCTTCGAAGCTGGAAACCATCCCGATCACCTTGTAGCACTCCACTGGTGTTGCCTTTCATTACCGACTTTTTCGCGATGGATTCTTAACTGTAAACAATTACGACTTCCAGTGAGCCGGATCTTTCGTTCACTTCCCCATTATGACGCCTTCCAACAGCTTCAAGTGTACGATATAAATGCAAGGTATGTGAAGGAAAATGTGCGACGTATAGATGATGTGCCTTTTTTGTAACGGATTTCACATCGTAGAAACATCAAGGCCACTACAAAAGAGAATGGTTGAACATCCAAGAGCTTCACGTACTAGACGGAAATCCATTCATTCTAGGCATGACACACTCAATCATTTGATGGGAAAACTGCCCAAGCTTCTTGTCTCATTTCTCCATGGAAATCCGTTTCCATTGTGATCCAGTTGTGAAGAAAATAAGGGAAGAACTATAAGAAAACAGCAGAAAGCACCTATCAACAGCCAAGAGAAGATGCAAGTCGCATTGAGTCTGATATAAGCATATTAGTCGCACTATGAATGAAAACGTATTAAAGTCTTCATCGATTCATGTTTAGACAATTGTGCAGGTGGAAAAACAAGAAAAAAGACGTCTACCCATGTAGCACTCCAGCGACTTTTGTATTTTCGTCGTTGGTGGAAGTTTTCCAGCAGAATACTTCTTAAATGTCTCTCTGTAATTTAATACAAGCCCTTCTTCACTGCCCTCACTGTCACCAGAATACAACGTCGTCCTCTTTCCTCTACCTCTCGACTGTTCTATGCTTCTTCAAGAATTAGACGATCTGAAGAAGGGATTATACCCGACCGTTGTCTACGAAAAAGAAGAGCTTTTTCACCTTGCGCTATAAGATTCAAATCGATGAAAGGTAGGGAACAGTCTATTCAACATTACTCGGGTCGTCTGCCACAACAACGCAATTTCCCGTACGTTTCGTTCTCAGGGTGTATCCAGACCCCGATTCATTGAGGAGAAAGATTCATTCGGCTTCCGTACACGATACTTCTTATGTACCATCAAGATTTGGGCATAAGTTATTAGATCTCAATCTCTCACTTATCTATGGTTTTCTTCAAGGCATTTGGAAGCCTTGCGAATCCAATACTAGGTTGAATAAAATCATAATCAAGCTTTTAGAGAAGCTTAACTTAGGCTTCACAATCACCTATTAGGTCCTCGGAAGCCCATGTATTCATATAAAGATTCATTGCAGAAAAGCACAAAAGTTGACGTTATATTAAACCATCAACAAGACAGTGTACTATCGCATTATTATCCAAATACACACCCGAGCACTACCGCGACTTGCGACGAAGCTGGTCACGGTGTTTCATTGAACGATTAGGTGGAGTGCTTGATAGTTTTCACAGAAAAACGAATCAAACTGAGGAAAAATAAAGTTAGTGTTGAAAAATACGATTAGAAATGGAATGCTTTCAACTTTGCAAAGTTAATGAATAGCTCTTAATAAACACTTTCACTGAAGGGCCGCTTCAAATCCAATAAATTTCATACTAGTGCAGAATAGGCTATGCTACTTGGGCGTGCAATCCTAAAGCCGCTGTTGTCAAAGATCCAAACAAATTCAGACTGAGCAAGTAGAAAAGAAATACATAGTATGTAGAAAATATTCATTTACAAACTAAGTCAAACCAACAAAGGAGTTTCAGTTTGAACGGGAACTCTCGAGACTATATCTTCTCCCACAAGGCCTTGCAGGACCTAATCCGTTTTTGTACGTTGAAGAGAGCCACAAAAAGAGCAGAACTACTTGATTTCTTTCGAGAAGAAAAACAAAAAAGACGTTGCCTCAATACCAAAAAAGAGACTGGATTGATTCCTCTAGAACTTTGGTTTTCTGAGCGTTTTCTTAGCTTGTGAAATCACATTTATGACCATGCTAAACCCCAGCAAGATGATTTTTCACAGAAAGCTAGAAGACAAATGTTGAAATGTCAAAATGGCGCAGGAGCCGCGAAAGAATGCCTTGTTCTTGATCGGCATACTGATTTGCCTTTACTTCCAAAATTTCGGAAGAGTGTGACCCGATTGAAAGGCTAGATCAGTTATTGTAATGATTATGAATGCTCTCGACGAGTCAGGGGAATCCTAGCGATTTGTCTTGGGTTTGCATGGTGACTGACGATCCTACTGCATGGCATCCCTTACACTACGCCACGCTGCATTCCCTGAAAGCGATTCAGCCAAAAGTGCTGAAGCAGCCTAGCCAGTGAAAAGGTCGTGGGCCCAACCAGTCCTGACGAGGATGATAGCTCAGCTTCGCCACTGCACGACCTCTCTGCCATCATCAGCTGGAGTGCCCAGAAAAACTTCTTTCCTTCGAGTTGATGACGACGAAGATTTCGCTTCAGAGTCACCAAGCTGTCGAACGTGGTAGGCTAGTGATTCTCTCGAGCATGATCCAGTTTTTCGAATTTTTCACCGTCACAGCTTTTCCATCATACGTACGAAGGCTTCTCATGGCCTGGATTGATTATGGCGTCAATTTAGTGCTGATGTCATTTGTGGCAGGTCTTGAAGTGTGAACTCCTGGAGTTTTTCACGAATCTTTGGCGGAATTCTGGAAAAGCGGTGAGGAATCGAAACGCAAACGCCTTCGCCATCTTCATTCGATGGACTACACTCAGAAACTTGGATCTTGGGTACCTCATAAACTCACTGGAAGAAACGAAGGCAGGTCGCCTCCGAATTGCAGCGCAAAATCTCGCTCGACATCGCGCTACACATGACCACAGGAACCGATTTCTCCACAGAATCATCACAGGAGATGAAAAATGGTGTCTCTATGCTAACGTCAAACAACGGAAACAATGGATCTGTGCAGGAGACACACCAACACCCAGAGTGAGACAAGACCTTCATCCCGAAAAGATCATGCTTTGCGTTTGGTGGGACTGGGAGGGCATCGTGCATTGGGAAACTCTCGAGAAGAACAAGACGAGGACCTTCATGTGGGCAAACTGCGTCGAGTTAATGAGGCTCTTCAAATGAAAAGGCGCAACCGAGAAAGACAAGTCATCTTGCTCCACGACAATGCGCGCCCACACACAGCAAGTGTCGCGAAAATAACCCTACAGGAGCTGGGATGGGAAATCCTTCAGCACCCGCCGTACTCACACGACCTTGCCCCTACCGACTTCCTTCTGTTCCGCTCGCTATCAAATCATATTTCTGGCGAACATTTCGAAAATGGAGAACACCTTGGAAACTGGCTCAAAAATTTCTTCGATTCCAAAACTAATGATTTCTGGACGAATGGATTCAACAAATTAGCTGATAGCTGGTAGGATGTCATAAGTAATGTTGGAAGATACATAGGGGACTGATCTCATGTTTTTTTGGTTTTTTACCGATTGTTTGCGTCGAATTAAACGCTACGATATTATGCACCAACCCAAAATATATGCTATAGTTGGGGGAGTGTTTCTGAACTCTCAAATTTTCAGTCGTTTAACGCCTTTTTTTCCAAGTGAACACAAATATAAACAAAGCGTACAAAACACATAACATGAAGATTCCAGCTTTCCATGCATGTCAATCGAATAGCCTGACCCTCTCGCTCTCCACCCTCAAACTAGGTGGGGGGAGAGAAGGTGCAGCGGGCGGAAGGTTCGCGGTTGGTGAGTCAGAAATGCGCAGATTCGCAAGGAAAGCGAGCTTGTGGAGGCGTGCCATTTCTTTGATGAGGCTGGCTTCTTGGGAATATACCACTTGTTCAATGCAGTTGTGCAAGAGATTGTTTTTGGTTACGATTAGGTCGGGGCGCCGCGGGGCCCGCCGGCGCGGGCCGCGCGGCGCCGCGGCCCCGCGCCGCGCCGCCCGTCGGGCGGGGGCCCCCCGCCGGCGCCGGGGCCCGGCCGGCGGCCGCGGCGGCCCCGCTCACCGGGCCGGGCGGCCCGGAAGGCGGGCCCCCGCTCTGTTTTAGGCGTATTCTCAGTATTTTGAGCGAGAGTTTTCTGTTCGATTCATTCTTCCTAGTCTACGCAGTGTAGTAAGAGCACAGATGTGGGGAGTATTAACTTATTGAGTAATGGTGGAAGCTGGCTTTGTGCTTGTCTGCGCCTGTTGTGACGTCACGAAGCCGCGGAACGCGTCACGGCGCCGGTGCTTTTCACGGAGCCAACTAGGTATACGCCGCGGTAGAATTCTAGACTGCCGGTAGTCATTACTAAATATTTCGATTAGGCAGACAAGCAGCATGACTTTCTTCCGCTGGAAATCCCTGCTTCCGACCGGTGCTGCAATTTTGTTGTGCTGCTTTTCATTTTGCATTTTGAATAACGCGCTTTATGGGACAAGCCGACGCGCTTGCGCGTCATGCAGATCGCGCTCAGCAATGTCATATGCCTTTTCGGGAAATGTCAAATTTTCGATGTTTAGACTGCGCTCTATGAGCTTTCTCCGTTCCCGATTGTTACCTTTACTTCTCAGTTTATAATAAGTTTGTTGCTCATTCGTGTTTTTTTTCTTTGTGCGTGGGAGCAGTCCAAGAAGTAGTGAACAGGGGGCGAGAGTGTCGGATTTTTTATTTATGCTGACTGAATAGGTCCAACAAGATTTCACCGTACATTTAAGATATAAATTGTGAGAAACGTGCAGCGTTGCTTTCTATATGTAGCTAAAACAATGAGCATCAACGTGACATATCAGTTGCAATGCAGTTGGCCCACGGTACTTATTTGACGGAATCCAACTCGATGCATCCGTCTATTCCACTTGTTTTGAGTGATAAGAGCTCTCTGGTGAATAAATCTACAATACTCAGGGGATAGGTAGACTGAGCGTAAATACATCATCCGGATGTTATTTATCTAGCACGGTGAGTACAATCCAAGAATGATGGTCATTTTTTTAACTTGGAAAACATGAGCTGTAGTATTCAGTATTTAGTATTAGTAGTATTTTGGATTAAACTATTCTCAAATATACAACTCTTATCGCAACATTTTTAGAAAACTTGTAAAAAAATTATTTCAAAATGGGAACTCTTCATTGTCGTTGCAGAGTTGGCATGTGTAGGTATGTAGTCGTACTATACGTATTGCATGAAGTGGTTAGATCAATTTTCGGTTGTACTTTTGCTGAGAATGCACTCGTTCCTCGTTCAGAAGGTAATAGGAGCTGACAAGAAGCGTTGGAAGGCGAACGTCCTGATGTTCCCACCAGATGCGTGATAAGAAAAATTTCATTTCTTCAGTCGTCGTGATCCATCGACCGCTAATCTGCCCGAGCTTCTCAAATGGTCGGTGTTTGTGCAACTGCGATAAGTATTAGTATTCCTGTCTCATCACCGGCATAAGAAGTATTGACCGCTAAACCATTCCATCATCCTAAGCATGGTAGGGTTTGCTGAGGGTTGAGGGTTAATAAGCCCCAAGTAATTATATTAGTCATCCAAAGGTCATTCGGCTAGACTTTGTTGGTCCCAGAAAAATGATACTCCTGCAGCCACCCATTGTTTCCGTTGTTTGACGTTAGCATAGAGACACCATTTTTCATCTCCTGTGATGATTCTGTGGAGAAATCGGTTCCTGTGGTCATGTGTAGCGCGATGTCGAGCGAGATTTTGCGCTGCAATTCGGAGGCGACCTTGCCTTCGTTTCTTCCGTGAGTTTATGAGGTACCCAAGATCCAAGTTTCTGAGTGTATTCCATCGAATGAAGATGGCGAAGGATCGTCGCATGATCACAGTCCATCTTTTCAGCCAATTCATCTGGAAATTTGGCGGTCATCCTCCTTAGTAAGGTCCCTTAGTTGCTCCTTGTCAAAATCTGAAGGACGTCCGGTGTGTGGAGAATCTTCCAAATCGAAATCGCCCTCTTGAAACTTGGCAAACCACTTCCGGACGGTTAAT